TTTCTTATATCTGGAAAATTTTCTTCAGTCATTTCTGAAAGCATGTTGGTGAGTCCATCTGTGTAGTTTTCCAGTTTTTCTCTCACTTCAATTAGGCTTAGATTAGTTTTGTGGTTGTTGCTGTCATTTAGTAGCTGCTGGATAGTCTTCTCTTGTTTTCTTTTTGGGTTCTTTGAACTCTTTATCATAATTCACTATTTTGTCCTCAATATTAGAAATTCTGTCTTCACACTGGTTGTTTCTGCAATGTATGAATTCTATATTATTTTTTATTTTAGGTATTTCTGACTTTTTTTAAAGGATTCCATATCCTTGTTAAATCTGTCATTTGGGTTTTGAACTGTCTTGGTTAGCTCATCTAGGTTTTTACTTATTTCCCTGAAATTCACTATGACCATATTGTCATGCTGTAAACTTTTGATTTATATACTCTTTGAACCCTTCTATTTTCTTCATCTTTTCTAGAATTTTTCATAGATTTCTGCTGTCTGGTATTTATTTTGTTTTCCCTTTGTGGCCCCTTGCTCTTCCTTGGGAGAGGTGGGGAAGGTGTTCAGAGATTTTATATATATATATATGTATATATATATATACATATATATATATAATTTTAATTATATGAGTTCCTTTCTTTTTTTCTCCCTTTGGTGATGGTTTACTGTTTGTTGGACACTAGAGAAGTGAGGCAAGTATGTGGTTATCTGGAGCTTTTTAGTAGAATATTGCCTCTCTGAGTTATTTTCAGCTTTGTGCGTCCAGTTCTAGCATTCTTGCATATGTTGTTTACTTTGATTTCTTCTCTGTCTCTATGTTTTGCCACAAGTATTCCTTGACTTTATAATAGCATCCACATTTTCAATCTTACAGGTTTATCTTTAATAGGATGCTTTAAGATGTAAATACACTTGATGTTAAATTACATAGTATGAGAAAATGGAAAGGGGATGCATTTGGGGGTCAGAAAGACTTATATCATTTTCTCCATTATTGCTATAAATACTATGTCCTTTGGTGTCAACTTTTGCACAACAAACATAACTGTCTTAGTTACTTTTCTCTGGTTGCTGAGACAAAATACCTGATGCTCAAAATTAAGGAAGGAAATGTTTATTTAGCTACAATTTGTGGAGATCTCAGTTCATAATCAGCTGGCTCCAAGGCAGGGTGGCATGGAAGAGGGGCAATGGTTCATGGTGGCAGAGGACAGCAAAAGGAGCAAGAGCAAAAAGGCAGGGACAGTAAGCCTTTTTCCTTCTTTATATTTTATGCAGACTCTTCACCATAGGGTAGGTCCATTACTCCTGCACCATCTCCCTGCCCTCCTCTTTCACAGGCTTAGGATGTTTGCAAAGTGAGGACCTTGGCCCGTTGATGAATCACTCTGTTAAACTTCTAAACTTCTCAAGTTGATACAGTGTATCAACCATTACAATAACTATTCTCTGTACTTCTAATTCTATGTAAATAATAAGGTGTGGTGAGGGATAATTTGTGTGCGTAAGCACAATGCCTAACACAAAGAAGGAAGACACTCCCTGAATAGTGATTTGAATCAGAATTCCTCTTCTGGGGACCATTGCTGCCTTTTCTGTAAGGCTCATCTCACATTGTGTGCCCTCTGTAACACTTCCCTGACTTTTTCCATGTTCTTGACAAGGTAATGGTACTAAGGCCTTTGTGTTTCCTTGGATTTTTTTAGATCTCTGTGGTAGCAGTCATCACACAGTTCAAATAAATTACCAAGAAACTCTGGGTATTGGTTATTTTCATGATGAGTTAGGTGTCACCTCCTTCCTACAAGGTTATTATTTGTAAAAGGTCAGAAGCTTTTAAGGAGATTTATGTGGATCATGAATTGTTGGCTCTCACTGAGAGCTGAGCTTTTCTGTGGCAAAAGCACTATGTGAAAACCAGATATTTTCACCTTAAGATTTCATGTTGTTAGTTGGTTCTACTTACATTATATCCTCAGTAGATCTACACATTGTTATTTCTCTTTTTGAACCACACCTAGTACGTCATATCTATTGCTAAGAATCTGACCTTGTCTCAAGAGGAGGTTAGATTTTCCAGAGCCTCTTTGTCAATTTCTTCTGAAGTTTAACTAAGTGATTCATCAGGAGGCCAAGGTCCTCACTTCCTTCTCTGGAAACTATACATTATACCCTTTCTTTATTACTTGCTTTCTGTCTCCATAGGGAAGATATCTTTTAGTTTCTTTCATAGTAAAAATGTGGGAAATCATTATGTTAAAAAGATATCTGCAGGGTTAGGTACACATTCCATCTACCTCCAATGAATGCATTCACTATGTACTGCAAACACGAACTGATTTAAAAAAAGATTATCTGTCATCTTCATATTTATTGTAGTACTATTCACAGTAGCTAAGATATGGACTCAACGTAAGTGTCCATGAACAGATGAATGGATTAAGAAAATGTGGTAGATATCACAATGGGATATTATTCAGCCATAAAAGGATGAAATCCATTGGAGGGTATTATGTTAAGTAGGCACAGATAGATAAGTGTCTCATGTCACACATATGTGGAAACTAAAATAGTTGATCTCATAGAAGTTCAGAGTAGTATAGTGATTATCAGAATATGGAGAGGGTGGAGGGAGGGGAAGATAGGGAGAAGTTGGTCAATAGTGGAAAGTCACAGTTAGATGGAGTAAATTCTGGTGTTGCCTTGCAGAGCAGCATGACCATAGTAAACAGCAGCATATTGTATATCTCAGATAGCTGTAGGAGCGCGTTACATCTGTTCCCAACACAAAGAAATGATAACATTTTGAGGTGATAGTTATGCTAATTACACTGATTTTATCAGTTCACATTGTATATGTGTATTGAAATATCACTGTACCTCATAAATACATACAGTTATTATGTGTTGATTTAAAGAAACAAACTGTGAAGTGATAGCTTATATTTCTCCACTTCTTCATTTTTCATTTACCAATAGCCCACTGCAAGCTGACCTGTCTCTGCAATGTTAAAATATCTTACTAAAGTGACTAAGGTTCAGTGGAATTCTCCCTCTGCTCTTTTTATACAATGAATATTTTGACATTTCATAATTCTCCTACTGTGGCTTTATAATGTTGGTCTTAGTTGTCTTTCTATTTTTCTGATCTTTTTATACAAGCTTCCTTTAAGAGGACTTCTTTCTCCCATTTATTGATGCTTTCACTTATTTGATGATTTATTCTATGCAGCTTTTTGAGCGCCTAGTGTGTACCAAGCAGTATACTATGTCCTATGGTAATTACAATAAACTACAAAATTGCCTGAGCCTCTGTTTTCCTGTACCTTGATTCTAATTGGGGAGATCTTCTGTAAACAATATATAGATCAACTAAAATGGTTTCAAATTATGATAATTACAATTAGCGCCATAAAGGACTATAGGGTGAAGTGATAGTGAAGGACATGAGGGAACTACTACAGATACAGTGATTATGCAAGGCCTCCTGAGGGAGAAACTGACAGTGGGAAGAACAGGACAACACTTAAGCCGCAGAAATGCCACTTAGATGGTATTTAAAGTCGCAGGAATGGATGAGATCACTGGAGACAGAAAAGAGCAGATGTACTAACATTTTGAGTTAAATAGAACAGAATGGGCCAGAAGAGGAAATAAAAATAGGTAAGAAGACAGGAAGAAGGTGAGATGAATGAACAGAAAAGGAGCAATAAGCCCCCCTAAAGATACATCTTGTGGAAGTAAAAGCTTATGGAAGATGCTGGGGTTATCAGTCCTGCAAACTTAAGTCCTGTTCGTCAACAGAGCAGAGCTAAGAAGCTAATCCAAGAATCTGGCCAGATGTAGAATCTGAGAAGATGTAGACAAAATTTTACAGAATGAAACATAGTACCTAGAAACTGCACTGTAAGCCAGAGGAGCGGCATCAGTCTATGGTGTGAATGTTGGTGACCTGGACTGCCGGAGCTCCACATCCTATAGCCTCAAAATTCACAACATATAATACTTGTGAATACCCTTCTGAGGGAGTAATCTATTAATGCAAAATGCTTCTGTGAGCCAGCTTTCGGGTTCCTAAATAAGCATTAATATGTTGCAAAACCATTTGACAAAGAAGAGAAGCATTTGTGAAGTTTCTGAGTAAAGAATAATTTGGAAATTAAAAAAAAATCCATATTTTAATTTTGGAATCTGTGAATACTTTAGGTTGCATGAGGAATTAAGGTTGAAGACAGAATTAGGCCTGACAATAGAGATTAGAAAGATCTAATAGTGGATTGATTGAAATATGGACCAAAATGTGTCCTATACCAAGTAATGTAAAATAGCAGAACTGCCTTGGAATACTACAGAGGAAGGTATCCAAAGCACAGGAGGATTGGAAAGTTAGACTGGATTTATTATTTGCTCATTTCTTCTACCCTTGGAAGGTCTAGAGGATATGTTTTTCATCACAATCATGAAAAGTAAATTCGTGAGGACACCGTGAATACTCATCCACCTACTTTGTGGCAGATTACTTACCTCAGACCACTTTCAGCACGAGCAAGTGCGGTTCGTTCTTACTTGAGTAATATGTACTTACTCTCAATGTGGGTTTTTCTTTTCCCATATGCAGTGCTTCTTCCCAAACCACCGCTGGAATGCCTACCAACTCACATGGTAGTCCATTTAACATCATTTCTAGCTAAGAAAGTTTTCACAACAAAGCAAGTACAGCAATGGAATTTATTGATCTTATCACATTCCCCACCATCCCAATCAACTGGTAAAATGGCTTTTTGAATAAGAAAAGAGTCTGCGTGCAGGGTGGCTGGCAATACTTTACAGAGATGAGAGAATGTTCTTGAGGCAGTAGTATATGTTCAAAGTCTAGAATCTAACATCTGACACTATTTTACCCATGGTGAGGATTTGTGGGTCAATAATCAAGGAGTAAAAATAACACTATCTTGTGTTGTTATTTCCCCAAGTGGTCCACAACTAATGTTTTTCTCCCTGATTTAGGTTCTACCAGCCCAGATGTCTTCATTCCAAAGAGAAGAATGCTTTTACTAGAGGGATTGGACAAGTATTTCACTGAACTGGAGGTTGGGGTGGCTGCTCGGGCACTTTGGGCTCCACATACCTGTGAATCAATACAAAGAAGGAGGTTAATGTACTGGCTGTGATGCTCACTTCTTACTGCTCTTTTACATTTTGCGATGTATGGTGATTAGGGGAAAACTGTATATCCTTAACTTCATGTGCAAATGGAACAGCTATTATAAATAATGGGAAGCTTGCAACTGCTATGTTACCTTAAAAAAGGTGTATCACCATTGCCTTCAAAGAATTTCTTAGTGCAATTTTTTCCTAGCTGTTTAACAGGCAAGGCCTTACCATTTTGTGAGCCTGACTCCGGCTATGTAAGCTCACGCCATGCAATCCTCTTAGCTCCCCCTGCTCCCATAGTGTTGCTAACTAGCCTAGGGTTCTTTTGCTCCATTCAGATGGAAATCGTGATCTGCAAAGTGCAGCTCTGCTGGCAGTTTCCATGTCACCGGATGATATTGGATTATGTTGGATGTGGATAATGCTGGTTGACACAACCAGCTGCCGGTCACTGCTGCTAGTGCTGCTGACTTCCAAGGCTGACTTGCCAGATACTGTAGGTCCATAGGTTGACTCTATTGGGTGCTGGTCTCTGCTGCTGGTCTTTGTTGGCTGCTGGCCTCTGGAGATTTTCATTGCTCACAGCTCTTAGTGTTTATTGCTCTTTCCTTTTGAGGCAACTGCTCTGTCCACATTACTTAACATAAAAATTCTGAGAAATAATGTATGAGCAGGTTACAGGATGACCAAAGTAAGTTTATTTTAACAGGACCTGTTCTGCAGCACAGAAAGGTCAATACACAGAACGGGAGCTCTCCTGGGCCAAACCTGAGAAGTGGCTGGGGAATCCTGCTTGTATAGCAGCTGCAGGCTGACATGGGTGACTGGCAGGGCTGAAACCAGGGGATCTTGTGGAAGGCCAGCTGCGATGGCGTGTATGCAAATAAGAGGTCCAGCTCCCTCACTCCCTGACCTTGGCCACTCCAGGGTGCCCCTCTTTTTTCAAAAAGTCAACCTAGCACCTGAAGTGGCCAGAGCAGGGCAGGAACTCCATGCTGACATCTGGCTCTACTCACGCCAGAATAAGGAGTGGCAGCTAGGTAGCCAAGGTGGACACTGAAGCAAGTTGTTCCAGTCCACTACCGTGTGAGGTGAGGGGAAGCAAAAGGAAGTGAGGGGGAGGGGCAAGACAGCTGCTGGCCAAGCCACGCCCATCCCCAGGTGCGGGTGGGGAATAGTAGAGTCATCTATCTCAGTGGGACTTTATTTCCCTCTCAAACATCTTCCAGTTATTTCAAAGCGCAGCGCCATGACTCTGGAATTTCACATGTGTTCTTCCACTGTGCATAGCTCTTGACTGCCAGCCATTAGGGAAACGCAGCTCCTGGCAAAGAGCTTTCTTTGAGAGCATTGCTTTGCTGAGAATTACTGCCCCTACTGCTGTTCCCCAAAGATGTATCTGTGGTTGTGTTGGGGGAAGGGAGAATACCCTCTCTCCTTCTGTATGGAGTGTGGCCACACAGGTAAAAAGTAGCTCTGCTATGTTCAGAGCCTCCTTCACGATGCCCTTCCTTTGCTTTTGTCCTGATTTTGCTCTCAGATGAACCTGAGCCCATCCACCTGTAGAGAGGTGGAGAGAAAGGACACAGCATCCTGGTCATCGTCCTCAGCTTTTTCTCTGTTTTACTCCATAGATGACTCCGACTGCTGTACCTCCCCTTAGAAGAAAAAAATTCCAAATCCAGACCAAACCAACAGATCAACCCACAGAAAGAACAAAGAAAGGAAGAACAAAGACCAATATAAACTATAAAGATTGATATTTGAATGCTGCCTACTTACCAAAAGATTTGATTCTTCTGATATACTTACTTAAATCATCCTACAGTAGTTAAGTGTTCAGTGTGCATAAAGAATCACCATTCAGCTTTCATCTATTGTAACCAGTTGAACTCCCATCATTTTGTAATCTCTCTCTGCCTTACATATTCCAGATACATATTTGTTTTACAACTAGAACCATATTATAATATATTCTTTAGAGGATGAGTATAAATACCAGAAATTCCCATATATACAGGCTCCTAGAGAAAGAAGTAAGCCTTTCCTGTTGAAGATCAGTTTATCTTTGTTTTGAATGTTTAAAAGTATAAGAGAAACATGTCTGAAATTCTTGCTGAGGGCCTGGGGTTATAAATTATACTATGTCTTTTTTTCTGGCTTAGAAGAACTGTGGTAAATGGAGTGAATTCTGAGGTCAGCATGAGCTCTGAAGTCAGGAACATCTGAATTCCAGCTTCCCTGCTTTGTCATGTTGTCTTGAGCAAGCCTCAGTTGCCTCCTCTGTAAACGGAATATATTTCCCGGTGTTCAAGGTAGGATTAAATGAGCTGATGTAAAGTGCCTCACACCTAGGTGGGACTTCCACAGATGTTGCTTCTTCCTACCCACTGCCTTTTCTTCCAGCATTATCTCATTCTTCCGTGAATCATTGCTATATTGAATTTTAGAGCTGAAAGAAATAGGTCTCAATTCTCATTACCATGACGACAGAATCAGAGAAGTGAAAAAATTGCCTCCTTAAACAGTGAGCAACCGTTAACAAAGTAGCACCTTTTTAATTGGTGGCAAGTATGTGATTTCTTTCCTTCTTTTCCTCCTTTTGCCGGTTTCCCTAATCCTATTTGTTTATCCTAAAAGAACCAAAGGAGATGTTGATTAGCGATTTTCTTACCATGAAAATGTTGACAAGGATATCTGTGACTTTTATATCTCCTATCTTGCTGTCTACAGTGTATCTGGGAAGAGAGCTGAGATTTCTGTTATTACCTGAAATTAGCTCTTTTCCTAATCAGTATGCATGTATATGTCAAATGTCTTTAAGTCATAACTATATTTCATATACAAATTTTCAGTGAATGACATGGCCATCTAGTTTTTCCTTTACCCTCTAACTAGGATAATTTCCAACAAGAGTTTTGAAAATGAAAAATATGCCTATATTAATGGAAAAGTACTGTTTTGAAATTCTTAAAATTGATTCAATTAACTTCTATGATAATACATTTCACTTTCTCATAGTTTTTGTGGTCTTAGTTACCAATCTAACCTACTGAGATTTGAACCTGTTGGCCTTCTGCCATAGATATAGACAATAGTTAATCATTGTCATTAATTAATCATATCCTCATTATTCTAATTACATGCCTTACTGAAGAAAGACTGCTATATTTTCTTTAAAATAAATAAAACCTTGGGGCTAGGGATTTAGCTCAGCGGCAAAGCGCCTGCCTGGCAAGCGCAAGGTTGTGAGTTCCGTTCCCGGTACCGGAGAAAAAACAAAAAACAAAAAACAAACAAACAAAAAAAAATAAAATAAATAAAACCCTGTCTTTTTAATAATATCACTCAGTAAAAACCATTTAAAAACAATATTTTCTGCATAAAATTTATTTTTAAACAGTTACTTTGAAAGCCTGAATCTTGAAAAGCAGTTTGGCACAGATCCGTAAAGAAATTATTTACTGAAAATGCCTTACTAGAGAAAAGAACTAGTGGTATAGAAACATGTCACCAGTAAAATTATTTCCCTCTTATTGATAAAAGACCACTTCAGACAGGGAAATCATGTTGCTTGCATGCAAATAGGAAATGGCAAAATGCTTTTTTTGGCTCTTGGTAAGGTACTTGGAGCAGAAAATAATTTCTCTCGTGCAATTATAGAGAGCAATTTATTAGATAAGAAAGAAGACAGATAAAGTGCTAAGAATGAAACTGAAGCAGACAGCTAGCTGCTCACCTAATATCCATTGCTGCCTTTTCCCTTGGTATGACAAAGCCCAGTTTTCAAGGAGGCAATAACGTACTCAGATTAAAAAATATTACATTTCCAAGTCTCCCTTACAAATGCAATTGGATGAGTGATACCATTTGGGTTAATGATAAAAAAATGAAAGTTTAAGGTTAGAACTTCACTTTTTAAAAGTTGACAATCTATTGCTTGTATACTTTTCTGATGTATGCACTTCCTAATTTTTCCTGCATGCGACTTGATAGGCATGATGGATGGAGGTCGATTTATCTTGCAGCAGTGGGGAAAAGCCAAGAGAATCACAAATATTTCAGCCCAGACTTCCAACTTGTCATTGTTTCTTTGATGAGGTCAGTATTGTTGATAGTTGGTTGCTTATGAGACTGTATCAAAGATATTTAAACAAATTAATCATTGAACTTTCTAACAGGTAGGATCTGTACATTTTGGCAGGCTAGTGTTTCTATTGAAAAAACAGATACATTGCAACTATATTTTTAAAGGTATCAGAGAGCTGTAAAACCAAGTGAATGATCCTAACATTCCAGAGAGAGAAGAACCATCCTCAGGTAGGTAGGTGAACTACAGTCATTGATCGCCTAGAGGAGATTGCTTAGGCAGAAGGATCCTACTGAGAAGACACAAATAAAGTTTTTAGTGTTCATGCAGGGATAGAGTGACTAAAGGAAGCCTTGCAGCACTTCAAATGCATGTCTGGTTTTTCTCACAGGACACTAGTCATGTTTTGGGTCTGCACAGGCAACTGAGGAGTTAAACTGAAAGTTTCTAAAAAGCAGAGCAAAATCTTTCTGTGGTGATACTTAGGAACAGGAGGGAGTCTTGCCTTAAAGACAGAGCCAACCTCTCCTTCATGACATTTGTTAGGCTTTAAAATCTAGGAAACAGAAGGCTGAAGGCTGAGAATATTGGAAGGACGGAGGTGGATCTTCCAGTTTCTCAGAGTTAAGAGCAGGAAACTTGCCAGGATCTCAATATAAAGTTCAAGGAAGCTCGAGGAAATAGGGTGATTCAGAGATACACTGGAGTCTTAATAAAACTGAAACAGGCCTAACTCAGCTCAGTACTTGACTAGGGTAATCAGTCTCTCACCTTACATGCTAGCAGAGGACAGGAAAAACTTCTTTGTGATAGATAATATTATCCAGATATTTGGATATATTTTTTAGTACACAGAGTATAATATACAATCAAAAACTACTAGACATGCAATGAGGCAAGACAAAAATGCTTCTTAGTGAAGAGAAAAAAGATCATTGAGGTAGGCCACACATCGTCTAGATATTAGGAGTTTTCAGATAAGGAACTTAAAATAACTTTGGCTAATATGTTTAAGAAAATAAAGATATGGAAATGATAGAAAAGTTAACCAGAGAATTTGAATCTATAAAAAAAGAGGCAGAAATATACAACTAAAAATAAAATACTTGAAATTAGGAATAGATAAAGAAATACAAATGGCAAATAAGTACATGAGAAAATGTTCAACATCATTAGTCATTCAAGAAATGCAAATTAAAACAACATTGAGATTTCATCTCACCCCAGTAAGAATGGCTAGCATTAAGAAATCGACCAATAACAAATGCTGGTGAGCCTGTGGAGAAATAGAAACTCTTCTGTACTGCTGGTTGGATGCAGACTGGTGAAACCACTGTGGAAATCAGTTTGGTGATTCCTCAGAAAACTAGGTCTAGAGGTCCCATTCAACCCAGCTATTCCCCTTCTGGGTATTTTCCCAGAAGATCTAAAACATCATATCACAGCGATATATGTGCATCCATGTTTATAACAGCACAATTTGTAATAGCTAAATTGTGGAAGCAACCCAAATTTCTATCCACTGAAGAATGGATAAAAAAATTGTGGTGTTTTTATGTAATGGAATATTACTCAGCTATAAAGAAAGATAAACTCGAGGGTTTTACAGGTAAATGGTCACAACTAGAGACCATACTCATAAATGAAATACATCAAACCTCCCTGTGTAAGCAATGTATTGTCTCACTAGTATAAGAACCTGAAAGAGTGAATAAAAATTAAGAGGTATGATAGACATTGTGAAACAAAAAGAAACTGCTCAGAAGTAAAGAGCAACTTGAATGAGGGAAAAGAGAAAAGAAAGAAGGTGAAATTATGTATATATGTATATACAGGATAGCTAACATAGTTGTACTACTGACTTCTATCACTTTACTGAAAGGAACAGTTAAAGATTAATTATTTGATCAATCTTGCATGTCTCTATTTGTTTTCCTGAGAAACCACTTTGAAGATATCAGTATGTAATACAACAACCATTGTTAATTTCCTACCACTTTGTCTGTAATTCAGTATTGCTTGTATTGTTCTTATGCTATTTTGTAAATAGATGTCTTTGTTAATATGTTTTCCTTCTTTTATTTTTAAAATAAATTTAAAAAAGGAACATTTGGGTGAAATGGATACACTATTTTTTTTGCAATGAACCAAAGCTGACAAAGGAGAAATAAAACACTTAAATATTATCTTTTTAAAAAAGTGTCCATTAGAAACAAACTTTTCCATAATGAAAAATTCCACATTTGACAGATACACAAGTGAACTCTCATAAACATTTATATAAGAAGTAAAACAAATGCTTCCAAAATAATACTTTACTTTTTATGAGGCTAGCATAACCTTGACTTTTTTTTTTTTTTTTTTGTACTAGAAATCAAGCTCAGGACCTTGCACTTGCCCAGCAGGAGCTGTGCCACTGAGCTATATCCCCAGCCCATAACCTTGATTTTTTAAGCTAGCAAGGAAATTACAAAAACAAAAAGTAAACAAAAGGAAAGGAAGAAAGAAAAAAATGTAAGGAAATAAACTATAGCTACAGTCTTATAAAAGTGAGTGCATTTAAAAAGTGAAATCTAGCCTACACTGCAAATCCTGGCAACCAGCCCAGGAAAAATCCAGGACTCGGCAACCAGCTCCAATGGAGGAATCTAGGTGCCTGGCCCCTCCCCCTACACAGCAGGGCCAGGCCACCCAGGAAATGCCAGCCACACAGTAAGACCTTGACTAGGGCACACACAATGGACAGGGAAGACTAGTGAGATGGAAAAGTCCAAAATACAAGCCAACAGGTAGTAAGTTAGGTGAGCCAGTGTTGTGCATAGGGACAAAGACACATGGAATAGAAGCTGGTGGGTGGGATCATTCCTGCCTTCTTAAATATAACTTTACTTTATTTTATCTTGGTTTTTTATTTTACTTTCTTTTCCCTTTCATCTTTTCTTTTTTCTCAATTTCTTTCTCTTCTTTCTTTTAATTTTTTCTCTCTTTTCTAAATGGTTAGGCAGAACTTCAGCCACAAAAAACTAATCCCATCACCCAAACCCAGAGACCAAGTTCAGATAATGCCTTAAATACTCCTTCATATTTTCTTTTCTACCTCCTTCTTTAGTTTTCCAAACCTTGCATGACCATCTTCTGTCCTCCAGCCTTACTTCTACTTTCTTTCCAGTTATCTTTGTTTTATAAACCATCCTCCATAAATTTCCCCACCACAGGGTAGACCCACTCTACCAAGGGGCTAATATTTTGCATACAGACTCCTAATTTATGATTGGTTCTGTTATATAATGATAGACTTTGCTCCTATGATCTAAAGTACAAAATCAATAGTTACCACAATTTATCAGTTTCTAAATTGTGCTTTATGCTATTGTTATTGCTAACTGTACTACTTTAGCTAGGATATACTATCTGTTATAATCAGTTGTTCTCTCTTGGGAAACTTTGGGGTAATAACCTCACAACAGCTCAACATCAAGGGACTGGGGATCAAGCCAAACAGATATCAACAGCTCACTCATAATTAACTTGGAAAGTAAGATCTTAGGATAGGACAGACACAAACCAAGAATCTCCTACACATGGAAGACATTTCTGAAAACAGACTTTGCCTAGAGAGGCCTTGGTATTAGTGATATAATCACCTACTAAAAAACTCACCAGGATCACTACAGAAAACAAAATTAAAAAATTTTTGAAACAGAAATGACGAAGAAGCAAAATGTAGTCTTAGACCTCCAACCCACCTAGAAAAACTCCAGAAGACATCCACAGGAAGATATTGGAAAACACATACCTGAAATTTCTGAAATAATAGCAACTGAAGTAAAGAAACAACTCCATCAGGCTATAAAGGAAATCAGATCAGAAAAAAATCTCTCAGGTAAAAAAGAGAATTAACAACCATAATGAAGGAATTGTTCAGCATGTCTAAAGAAGACATAGATAAAAACAGTAGAAGAGCATAGGAAAATGATAGAAATCTCGAATGAACAATATAGGAAAGAATTAGAATGCATGAAACAGATTTAAAGAGATATCCAGGAAATTAAAAATTCCACTGAAAGTTGGCAAAACCACTTGCATGAAACTGGAGATAGATTCTGAGACCTTGAAGACAGGATTGCAGCTACTGACTGCAAAAGGAAAGAGCTCTTAAAAATAATAAGTAACGAGAAAATAACAATTCAACAGCTGCAAGACAACAGAAAGAAAAACAATATAAGACAGATAAATGTCAATGAAAAAGCAGGAGTCAACAGAAATGACACAAAAAGTCTATTTGCAGAAGTAATAGCAGAAAATTTCCAAAGCATGGGAGCAAAATCTTGCATATGGATAAGTGAGGCATATAGAATTCCAAATAGCCATAACCAAAATAAATCTACACTCAGACATATAGTGATCAAGATCCCAGAAATTCAGTACAAGAATAGAATATAAAAAGCTGTTAGAGAAAAGAAACAGATCACTTATAAAGGAAAGCCCATTAGAATCATAGCTGACTTCTCAACACAAACCCTCAAGTCAATGAGAGGTTGAAGTATTTAAAGTCCTGAAAGAAAACAACTTCCAACCCAGATTGATGTATCTTTCAAAATTAATGGAGAAATAAGATACTTCCATGACAAAGAAAAACTGAAGAAATTCATGACATACCAAACCAACACTACAAAGAATATTGAATGATATCTGAGATACAGATAAAAATGACCACAATTCCAAGAATAACATCAGAAAGAAACCAGCAGGCAAGGCAAGCAATTAAACAGAGGGGAAAAGTGGGGAAGCAACAGCAGGAAAATAGCATGACAAAGATAAGCCAATACATATTAGCTATAACCATTAATGTAATGGCCTCAATTCACCAATCAAAAGAAACACATTGGCAGAATGGATCAAGAAACAAGATCCAACAATATGCTGCACACGAGAAAGACACTTATTTCAAAAAGAAACTAATAGTGCTTAGCATAGTGGCACACGTCTGTAATCCCAGCACTCTCAGGAGAATAGGAGGATCGTTGTGAATTTGAGGCCAGCCTGGGCTACAAAGTGAGCTCAAGGCCAGCCTGAACTGCATAGCAAGACCTTGTCTCATAAAGACAAGAAAAAAGAGAAAAGAAACTCACAGACTGAAAGTCAAGGGATGGAAAACAATACTCTATGCAACAGGAACCTAGAAAAAAGCAGGTCTAGGTGATTCTGGGGCCAGGTTGGCTCTAGCTGGTGTATCTTGGCTCCAGTACGGCCACTCTAGCCTGTGCAGGGGTGGTGAGATGCTGTGGCAGCAGCATGAGGTGGTGGCAGGAGGCCTGGAGCTCACTGGCAGTGATGCAGCTGCCATGGGGACCCTGTGAAAGTTACTGGGCATGGTCACAGCATTGAGTACAGGGGCAGGTGTGGTCTGCACTCTTTGCCATGATGACCCTGGGGGAAATGCAGAAGCAGGCAATGCTGAAGGAGATGTCCCAGCAGCATCTGCAGCACAGGGACAAGGTGGCATGCCACTAGCTGTTTGTGATGGCTATGCTGCAGGAGTCTAGGACCACACAGGTGAATGTGGCATGGAGGAAGAACGGGATGTATGGTGGCAGGATGTGGGATGCCATCCAGGACTGTGGGCCCAAGGAGCAGTGCCAGGTGAGCCAGACTCATAAACCCCATCCCTGCACCTGGTGCCTGCCTGCTCCCTGCTCCCAGGCAACCCCAAAGCCCATAGGCCTAGCAACCACATTTTAAAAATGTTTTCAAATGAAAAAAAAGAGGGGTAGCTATTCTGTTTACAGACAATGTGAACTTCAAACCAAGAATGATCAAAAGAGATAAAGACAGTTACTACATATGTATTAGGAGAAAACTTCAAGAGGAAGAGATAACAATCATAAATATATATGCACCAAATATGGGAGTACTCAACTATATAAGACAAATATTAATAGACATGAAAAATCAAGCAATAAAATAATTGTAACATGGTAATGTAATACTCCATTGTTACAAAGAGTTCAGCAAAGGAATAACAGAACA